AAAGTCTACACACCCTTACTGAAATGTCAGCTTTTGTTACAGACTGAAGTCGAGACAAATCGTGTCAGATCTTTTTTCACCTTTAATAAGATCTTAACCAACAATATTTAAGTGAAAAATGAATGGGAAAAATAATTCAAAATAAAAAAACTTTCAATGCCTTGTCAACACCTTTTAACTAATACTTCATGGAAGCATCATTTGCTTTAATTACAGCAGTAAGTCTGTTTTGATAGGTCTCCCATCAACTTAGTACACCTGGATTTTGCAATTTTTTTAAGACTTCAAGCTCAGTCAAATTGTAATGGGGTCTCCTCTGCACAGCCCTCTTGAGGTCAGTCCACAGACGTTCTATAGGATAGAAGTCCGAGCTCTGACTGGGCCATTCCAGGATATTGATCTTCCTTTGTTTAAGCCATTCCTTGGTTGACTTGGCTGTATGCTATGGATCGTTGTGTTGAAAGGTTAAATTTTTCTTTAACTTTATGTTAATTTTTCTTTAACATACAGTTTATGTTTATGTATATTTTGATTTCATACCAAAATATCTTGATATTTGGAGCTATTAATTTTCCCCTCCATCCTGACCAGAGTCCCTGTCCCCACTGAAGACACACAGCCCCATATCATGATGTTGTCACCACCATGCTTGACAGTAGGCACTGTGTTCTCTGGGTGATGAGCTGTGTTGCCTTTTGGAATTAAGGCAAAAAAAAATTACCTTGGTCTCGTGAGACATCAGACATTTTCCAACATGGTTTTGGGAGATTGTAAACTTTTTACATGCTTGGATGTTCTTTTTCATGAGTAATGGCTTCTGTCTTGCCACCTTACCCCACAGCTCAGACTTGTGGAGAATACACAGAATGGTTGTAATATGCAGCGAGTGGCCAGTTACTGCCATAAATTCCTGCAGCTCTTTTAAGGCTTCTGTTGATCTCTTGGTAGACTCCCCAATGAGCTTTCTTCTTGCTGGTCATCATTTCTGGTGGTGCCATATTTCCTGCACTTCTCAATGATGGTCTACATAGTGTTCCATGATACTGTTTATGTAATGCCTTCAAATTATTTTATATCCCTCTCCTAATCTGTACATTTCAACAATAAAATCACATAGATCTTCTGTTATCTCCCTGTGAGCCATGGTTATCTCAGTACTGTGCAGCCAAGAAACCTTCAGGGAAATCCTACAGGCGCAGCTGATTTTATTTAGGGCTAATCGGAATCACTTCAGTTGATGTCAGGTGAAGGCAAATTACCTTACATGATATGGAATGTGATTGGTTAAATCTGAATAGTTGCAACTCCCTTTATAAAGGGTGTGCACACTTATGCAACCAAGGCATTGAAAATGATCAATTTGGTTTTCACTTAAATATTGATGGTTACAATATTTACAATATAGGTGAAAAAAGGACTGACATGATTTGTGTTGATTTCAGCCTTTATATCAACCAATAAGGGTGTTTAGACTTTTGATATCCACTGTACAGTATATGATTCCTAATTATATCAGCCTGCTACATAGTTACACCTAACCTACTGAAACGGTACTTCACACTAATAAACAATATTATTTTTTTAAATATTTAATTTTGTTTGTGTTTGTGTTGATTCTGTGTTGATGCTATTCTTCTTTGGACTTGGCTGAGTGGATGCTAATTTACTTTAGATTTTATTTTTATATAGTGTCTTGCAAACTTCATTCATTCAGATCCTTCCTAGGGTGTCCCATTTTGTGAAATGGTGCACATAGATTTTTATCTTCATATTTTATTCAGAACTTGAATGCTCAGACTGAAGCCTTCTAATTGTAAGATGCTGTATGTTACGGTAAATGTCATCAAAAACTGAAGACAAAAAACTGAAATATGTTGATTGCATCAGACCCCGTCAGCAGCCATATCACCTTGCAGCCCTCAACTGGTAACTCACTGAAGCTAAGCAGGGTTGAGCCTGGTCAGTACCTGGATGGGAGTCCTCCTGGTAAGCTATGGTTGCTGCTGGAAGTAGTGTTAGTGGGATCAGCAGGGGGAGCCCACCCTGTGGTCTGTGTGGGTCCTAATGCCCCGGTATAGTGGTGGGGACACTATACTGTAGTTGGTGCTGTCTTTTGGATGAAATGTTAAAACAAGGTCCTGACTCTCCTTCATCTCCTTATCAAGTGCATATCACGATCCCTAGGCATTTCTTGATAAGAGTAGGGAATTTCCTTCCTTTACCTTGGTCTCCAAATTGTCCCCATGTATGATTAGCTTGCACTTGCCCTGTGATGGACCGGTGCCCTGTCCAGGGTGTAACCTGCCTTGCGCTGGTTTCTTGCCGGGTAGGCTCTGGCTTCCTGTGACACTGTATGGTATAAAGTGGTTTGGTAAATGACATGACCTTTGACAGGAATTACATATGCAAGTCTCCATGAACTTTTCACACTGACCTGGACATGCAATTTTTCTCCATTCGTCTTGGCAGACTTGCTCAAGCTTTCTCAAGCTACAGTGTTTGGGGACCTCTTAGAGACACCAGTTTTCAACAGACTCTCGATAGGATTAAAATTCTAGATTGACTGGGACACTCAAGGACATTCAATTTCTTGATCTCTCCAGTGTAGCTTTCATCTTGTGGTTTGGGTATTTTGTCCTGCTGAAAGGTGAATTTTTATCCCACGTTTAGGTCTGAAGTACGTTTTCTTCTAAAATTCATCCTAACTGTTTCCATCTGTGTTCCCAGAAATCTTGACAAGACTTCTAGTCTCTGCTGATGAGAAGTGCAACTCTAACATTTCCACACTCGTGCTTTACAGTAGGGATGTTGTTGACAGTGATGCCTTACTGTATGTTGGGTTTGATTGAAGTGCAATGCTTTGGACCAACACCAATTTTGTCTTATCTGACCATACAATTTCTTACTATGTTTGTACTTTCACATACTGTATTTATTTTGTTGCAAACCCCATATTAGATTTGAGGGTTTTTTTTCAGTTCTATACAAACCTTCTTTGTGGAGTGTGACTAGGATATTTCTGTCCCATGGACATTTTCTCCCTGTGGAACTACTAGCCAGTTTCCTCTTTGCCCAGTTTCTCGGTATGGATCTAAGCAGTGTCTGAGTGCTTTCAACTTCTTAATGATCTACTTCTTCATGCTCAAAGAGATATTAAGGGTCTTTGAAATGTTTTATACCTTTCTTCAGATCTGTATCTTTCATACAATCCCTACGTTGTTTTGAACGTAGTGAGGAGTAGGTGGTGTATATAACAAATATTAATTGCTGTTTCAAAGTGTCATGGATGCAAGCTTTAAAGCAACAAAAGGTGAAACCCATCTGGATACATTTGCAGGGTACTGTATTTACCTCATAATCAAGAAGCCTAATGCAACTCTCTCAGGCTCATATGGATGAGCCAGAATATTTATTGACTTGCTTTTCAATGCTGCTTTCCGTCTTGACTTCAACCAGGTGTTTTAGAGGAAGCATCACACCTTATTGTGAAAAGCACAGAGAGGTTCTGATGTGGGTAACATGACTCCCTTTGAAGTTCATTTCTGCAGAAACTGTTGAACATAACTCAGTTGCTCCATGTGACACTTCCAGTCAGAAGAATGTCACAGAATATCTGTGATGTTTAAAGGTTTACGGATCTAACCAGACAAGGGATTTTTAACCAGGAAGGTTAAAACACAGTACTTCTAAAGAATATCAAAACTCAAGACTCAGTTTCAATTAAAACATAGAAACTACAAGATTGTCAGTACATGGGTGTACAGACTATTTCTGTAGGAGTTGATAAAAATGTTTCTACTTCCTTTATGTATGTACTGTATGTTTGCTTCTTGTGCAATTAACACCCTATAGAGTTTCCTTGTCTACTGAAGAGAAATAAGTTAACTTTTCTGGTTGTCTAGGTTTGATTTCATCTTGTATCGGTCAACTTTTTGCTGCAGCAGACATTAGGAAACATATACCTGTTTACTAAAAATACAAAACAAAATAAAATAAGTGGCTTAGAAATAAAGGAATTTAATTGAGTTCAGGTGCTAACTGCTTATGTGTTGAAAGAAATAACAGTAATCATGACAGATAGATCATGTACATGCTTTCAGAAATCTTCCATTGTGTCACATAAAACTGTTAATGCTTGTTGTTTCAGGTTCTGGACTGTACAGTATTGTGTTTTCAGCTGCAGACATACAGTATGTGCCAGTACCCTGAAACAAGTGCTTCAAATCCGTTTTAATTCAATAGAACATCTTAAGTTTTACTAGTGCAGCGACCCTTGTCCGGAAAAACAAATTGAAAATTGATTAAAATGGATGTTCCACAGGCCAGGGCAAAGAAGTATTCCACAAATGTAGGAGAGGGATTTCATTAATAAATTAGTAAATTACTTATTTTGGGCACAGTGTTTTAAATCATTCACTTGTAACTATAATTTATAATAGTAACAGCATCACTTTATAAACCCTTTACAATTTCTTGCATATCTTTTCACATACCCCAGCTTGCTCTCCATGAGACACACAGATAGGGAGAGAGCCTGGGGTCAGAGCACAGGGTCTGCAATTGTACAGCACCCCTGGAGCAGTTGGGGTTAAGGGCCTTGCTCAGGAGCCCAACAGAGTAGGATTCCTCTGCCAGCTGCAGGATTTGAACCAGCAGCCTTCCAGCCACAGGTCCAGATCCTTAGCCACAGAGCCATCGCTCCACCCACATAGCATAAACATTATGTTTATTGGGGGGTAGTGAGGCAGCTGGGAAACAATAAGAGAAAAAAAACAGATTCTTAGCCCTCCTGGCTACCCTGTGGGTTGCAGAGGTGAAGTGACTTTTGAATTGGGCTCTCTGATTTGGACTAATGGAGGTGTTAAAAGTAGCATTTACTTAACTTATGGTAAATTCACAATTCCTCCTTGCAAATAATTAAAAAGTGTGTAGTTACTTTAATTCTGCTGTACAGTGCATACTGTAAATGCCCTTAACATAAGCATCTTGTTGTTTTTCAGGTTGCATCAGGTTTATTTTGATGCCCCCTTGTGCGAAGGCAAAAGGCGAGAAAGGCTTTTCCTGATAGGAGACTATTCTTCATCGGCTGAGTTTTTTGTCACCATCGCTGTCTTCGCCTTCTTGTACTCCCTGCTGGCCACCGTCGTGTACATTTTTTTCCAGAATAAGTATCGAGAGAACAACAGAGGACCACTCATTGTAAGTCTATTGTAATTCTCTCTCCTTTTGATGCTCAGATGAAAAATCTTTGAAATACTTGTTGTAGCACAAACTGACTAAGCTAGAAAAAAATGTATTTGCTGATTTATGTTGTATGTATTTTCCCAGTGGTTGTGTTGTTTTTTCTTAACATGTCAAACACTTGACACTTGTTATACTGTGGTGGATGATTTGGATCCCCTCTTATATAGTATATCCTTATTTTCATATCCTTTGGGGAGGAAAGTGCCGGCCTGTACAAATACAAGAAATAACTTTTAATCATCTTCAATCAGAGGTCTTAGTTTTGAGCAGGATCCCAAGTGGGATTCAAGAATTTTATCATTGAGAATTACAGAGAAATTATTACAATAAATGCTCTACTGTGTAACTGGGTATTTCATCATTACAAATGAGTAGTTGTTCTATATTGACTTATGTCATTAAATGTGACCATCTTGTTTGTGGTCAGTGTTGCTAGCTTATTGATCCAAGAACCTCAACCAGTCTTTTCTTGAAGGAACCCAGGTGTTTGGCTTGACTGAGTATTTTGATTCAGATACCCATGACTAGCTGGCCAAGTTGCTGATGAAAGATATTTTCTACGGTACCCAGCAGTTATGATAAATGAGTTTTCCTCTTCAACAAGTCAGTGTAAAGGGAAAATATACTTACATAACTAACTAGAATTGTTTCTAGTACAGAACAAATGAAGAGATACAGACAACCATCTCTTTATGGTATGCTGACATGTCATAGAATGTCATTTTTATTTGTGTAAAAATGTGTCATTTAAAGGGTCAGCATTTGTAAACTCTTACAAATGTTGTAATTTATACGTTGATACGTTGTAATTTATTAATGTATATCTCATTTAATTAGAAATATGCACACTATAATGCTAATTTTGTTTTACCTTTATTTTTTTCAATACAGTTAAACTGGAATATATTTCCTTTCCTTTTTAAGAAGAAAAAAAAATTGTCATCTCACTTAGATGTTCCAAGGTGTTCTTGGTATTAAAGGACACTTTTTGTGGTAAAAAACTTCACTGAACACTTACTCCACTAAACTTCAATGAACAATTGTCTAAACTATCTCAATCTCAGTTACTGTGATTACTTGTGAGCTTAGCTTGAGAAAAAACCAGAAGAGTCTTGGAATCTTACCCATCATGTTAGTCCTGATCATTTTCAGTACAGAATCATGTATTCTTCAGGAATGGGAATGTGACACAAAATGTGAAGCACGCTTTGTATATATCCAGTTAAAATATCTGTATAGTGTGATAATCTAAAACAGTATGGATGGTAAGTCTCATTATTATTTAGGGCAGTGCTTCTGAAGAACCACAGTGTCTATTGGTTTTCATTCTACCTGAGCTTGTAATTACTTAATTGGCCCAATTATTGATTTAAATGTCTTTAATTGCTAATCTTTACAAGTCTTTAGTCCTTGAAGAGTTTGAATTTCCTAGAAAATCTTGAGGACAGTGACCAGGACCAGGAGTGATAATCACAGATCTGGAGCACATAGCATTTTATGTTCAATTTGTTTATTGGTTCTTCATGAAAAAACAAGAATATAACATTGTTATATACCATATACTGTACAATAATGAACAACCATCAGGGCACGACAGACTATTTTAAGATACAGTATATTTGAATATTTATAAGATGTATTATACTTTTCACTACATTTTGAGAAATATTTGAGAAATTTCATACAGAAATTAGTTTAAAATGTCTTTATTGTATAGATATATGCTGAAATGAAGCTGAGATACAGTAAATAAAATATATTGTTATTTTAAGATAAATTAAAATATAAAGCTAACTTTTGAAGTGATTTAAATTTGTCTTAAAATGATTGAATGATGCCTAAAGTATTTTTAAGATATCACATTTAAAACAAGATTTGGTGTTGCGGGAAGCCGGAGCCTACCTGCCAAGCAACGAGCACAAGGCAGAGTACACCCTGAACAGGGTGCCAGTCCATCACATGGCAAATGCAAGCCAATCATACATGGGGACAATTTGGAGGCCACGGTAAAGGCTGAGGGGAGGAATTTGGCCCAAGGATCTTTAATGACCTCTGAGAGTCAGGACCTTGGTTTAACATTTCATTCAAAAGACAGTGCCCTCTACAGTATAGTGTCCCCACCATTAGGACCCACACAGACCACAGGGTGGGCACCCCCCACTGGTCCCACTAGCACCGCTTTCAGCAGCAACCATAGCTTCCCAGGAGGACTCCCATCCAGGAACTGACCAGGCTCAACCCTTCTTAGCTTCAGTGGGTACCCAGTTAAGAGCTGCAGGGCGATATGGCTGATATCTAGCTGTATTGTGTGGATATATTGTAATTGTATTGAGATTTTAAAATATTTTCTGATATCTGTTGACTTTAAAAAATATTTTAATATTTTCAAGTGATGTGATGTAACTATCTTAAAATATTCTAGGATATTTGCTGTTTAAGGAAGATATATTAGTAGTAGTACAAAGAAGAAAAACAGATTTGTTGAGTCCTAATCTAAGATTCATCATTAATCAGTCAAGTAAATTAGGACAGTGGATGGAGGGGCTGATTTAGGCTTTGAAGAGATTACTACAGCTTTGTAGACTACAAATCACCTGGTTTTGGGGATTTGAAAGCATAAAAGCATGTTCTTGCCATGAAATTAAGTTTTAAAAGAGAGATTTTCATTTTACTTTGAAATCTTTTCTATTTCTTGTAACTCACCTCCCAGCTCCACGGACTATAAAGCTACATTGTAATAAGAACAGAAACGTTAGCTAGAACATTGGTTTCAAGGCTGATACATTTTTGATTGTGGGGATGTGTAGTATGTGCTTTAAGCTTTTGTAAAGGAAAATCCGTAGATGCAGTTCAATCTACACAGGCCCTACACAGAAATTCGACAGGGTTTTTTATGAATCCAATCAAGTCCTTTGCATGAAACATTCAATGAGAGAATATTCACAGTATATTGAATTCAACTAATATTTATAAAAAGCTTGCACAGAACAAATTTTGTCCACAGGAACCCTCATAGCTTCAGTATTATTTCTCTCCCTGCATGGCTTTAATTTGCTTTATTCACATACTGTAAGTACTTCTGAGCTGAGTGTTCTTTTTATTGTGATGGACAAACAGAAATCAATATGTGGTGGGTTTAGATTTAGAAATGCAGTCTTTCTCTGTAATGCCCTGTCATGGAGGGATGATAATGAGTGGGGGAGAGATGACTGCATGAAGGAAATTAGCTACTTTGTGTCAGTGATTGTGGTTCATTTTAAAGGTAGACACCCCACTGGCACTCTGCCAAGTGATGTGGATTCACACCGTGATTCCTTCCTTAGGCAATTTGACCATCTATCTTAATCTCTGCTGTTTATGCTAAATGCCTTTAACAAGTAAGGGGAAAAGTCATGAATCATTTAAAGTTAATTACATTAATCTTAGTTCCTATTATAGTGGTTGGAGATGAGAGAGAATGTGCAATGATAATCGTTTTTATTGTATTTAGCTGCATGTCCAAATGCAGTACCGTAATGTGTAACAGGTCCTCTGAAATGAATATTGGTGATGAGTCATAAGAACATTACAAAGGTTTCAAAGGATGGCATTTGACCTGTCTTGCCTAATTAGTAGCCAGTCAACCCCACAGGTTCATTGAGACATTTCTTGGACATTCCTAGGTAGTCAATTTCAACAGCCTGGCAAAGTAGTATGTTCCACACACTGCTGTCTGAAAAACAAGGCACTAACTATTTCACCCCTAAACTGTCAGGCTGATTTTTGTTGCTTTCTGTCACTTGTCTAAAGAAGCGCTTCCTGTTCTAAATGCACTTCTGTTTTAAATGCACTTCCATATACAGTAGTTTCTGCTTCTGCCCTCTGGTTCCTGTTGCTTTTGGAAGAAATCTGCTGGGTAAACTTTGTCAATGCCTTTGAGAATTATGAATTCTTTTATCACAATCTTCTCTGTTCAGACTGAAAAGGTTTAGTTCCTTCCGTTTGTGCCTTAAGCATGGGCTTTGAAAAAATGAAAACTTGCAGCCAAAATAAATAATTTGACATTAATCTTACGTGATGGATGTCCTATTTTTTTTCTTTTGCTAGGAGCGATTTATATCCCATTTAAGCACACGCTCTGCCTACCGCCACTGTTGACATTTTTCATTTGTGCTGAAATCCCAACCTCGGTTTTTCTGTTTTAAAAGTGTGTGCTGTGTGCTGTGTATCCCCATGCAGGACTTCATAGTGACGGTGGTGTTCTCCTTCATGTGGCTGGTGAGCTCCTCGGCCTGGGCCAAGGGGCTGTCCGATGTGAAGGTGGCCACAGACCCCAATGAGGTGCTGCTGCTCATGTCGGCCTGTAAAGTCCAGGCCAACAAATGTCTTTCAGTCCGAGGACCTGTGTGGTCAAGCCTAAACACCTCTGTGGTAAGTTAAACACGGTCTTCGAGAACAGACTCAGCATTTCCTGTTACTTGAGTCTTTCAAAAAGTGCAGGATTTTTTTTTTGTGTAAAGCCATTTTCAATATAATGTGACATTGTTGCGACGAACCATAACAACTGCCTCTTGAAACTGCCATCTTGAAACCTGTGTTAGTAAAATGTAAAACTCTGTATTTATTGTCACTCATGATTTTTCATCAGAAGTGTTGGTTTAATTTAGATACTATACATGAAAAGCTGATAATAGAAGCAAGAATGCTGAATATAACAAAATATAATGGAAATAATTATATTAATAATATGGATGTTGTTTTAAGCTCCTGGTATAATTAGATTATCTCTGTTATATACACTGAAAAAAATAAATGACAGCGAAAAGCTACAATGTTCTTTGATGTGAAGAATAAGGATTGCTGGATTCCTGTGAATTTCAGGACTTGAGGCCACTTAATAGCTGCAAGAGCAGAGTTTCTGATATGTATTTCTGACTCTTTCAGTCCATTTTCATTTGTGTCAGCATTTGCTGCAGTTCTGTATGGCAAGAAGCCTCTCTTTATAACAACCCATTTGTTTTAGTGGAGGAAGGTTAATTAAGAAACAGCTTAATTTAATTGCTATTAAGCTCAGATTTGTGGAATTAATGTGATACATTTAACTGTTATCTCTTAATCCTGCTATTATCTCTGTTTATCTTAAACAGTTTAAAAATGCTATTGACCTCAACAGATGTTGGATATGAGATTAAATCTTAATATTTTAATGAACAATAAGATACATGAAAACTAAAGGAAATTCATTTCACTTGTCTGCCTGAATGTCTGTCTGAATGTTATTATACTGGCTAGGCACTATAATAAATGTATTAATGCTTATGTTTATATTTTGGTGATGTAAGTGTATCAGATAGTAGATAGTGTTTTTTCTTCTGTTAGTGATTACCTTCCTATTGTATGTTTCAGAAGAACAGTGCAATTAGGACTCCTATGTGACAGAGAATTTGTGATTTAAAATAAGGACTAACACTATGAAGCATAATGTTGCTGTAAAAACCTCAATAGCAGACATGTCATTCGACACACCTTCTTTGTTTCAATGTTGTTTTAAGTCCTTGTTTCCCCAGGCCCACCATTCGTTTGAATGCATAAACAATTGAACCATTCAAAAAAGCTTACAATACTTGCAATCTCAAATGAAGCTGATATTTAATCTGATAAGTAAACTGGAGCATACAGGTATCATACCAGATGAAATTAAAAAAGGAAATATTTTTTATGACTTTACAGCCTAAAACATCTACTGAACCTGGGTCTGACAGTATGAAAAAATAATGGCATACACAGAAGGAAATTGTGTTTCAATTGTGTAAAAATGTCTCAATGCATTCAGCCTCAGATTGCTGCATGAGAATTTGCAACTAATTAATTTGGCTTCAGTTAGTCTAGGTGACTGGCATAGGTGTACTGCTGGCAGACTGTTAGACAGGTGGTGGCTTGTTTGGCATCCAGTGTTAATGGAAAAAAGGAAGTTTGAGCTAAATTATTATACCAGACAGGCCCCATCCCAGCAGGTGAGCTTATTACACACCTGTCGGTCCATGCTTTTTTTCTCTGCTCCCTCACAATAACATTTTCCTTCAAATTTCTGATTTTTCTACACATATTCTTTCCTTTTTACACATTCTCACCACAACTAATAGCTCGCAGTCTGACATGTACTGTCCCCCTGCCAAGACCTCTGTCCGTGCAATGTAGATATGCCTAACATCACTCAGCACAGGAAGGCAGGAGCTGGAGAATCAACCCCTCCTACTCTTTATCAAAGAACAGAGACACAGACTTAACTGCACGGACCAGACAGTACACCAACGTTAACCCTCTTCTCTTAGACTGGGGTTTACACAGGCACTTTTAACAATAACATACATGTTTCAGTCACCCTCAGACTATCATACAGGAGAGTTGGAGTCAGGCTACAGTCTGACAGAGTGCCAGGAAAAACAATCCACACCTCCAGATCCACCATGTACCATACACTGAGTCCACCAGCATAACCCCATATCGTGGTCTGTCAGGCAGAAGCCCTTTTCTGTCAGAACCCTCCCAGGATCTTAGTTCTCACATGTTGTTCCACTTCTGGGGACAAGTGTACGGCCTTCTCCACCCACCAGTCTTCCCTTCCACTGGTTTCCTTCCTAAACACAAACACTTGTTACCCACACTTCCAGCACCACCGACGTCTGTTGCTACAGACGCCTATCACCAGTTTCCTTCCCACAGTGCTTCACACAAATTGTAAGTATTTTGACAGGCAGTTTAAAAAGGAGAGCTCACAGCTATAGCTGATCAAGGCACTTATTCCCTGCAGCTGTGGCTTGCAGACGAATATTGGCTAACGGCCTGTCACAATCATGTTTCAGCTTGCTCTATCCATCCATTCATTTTCTAACCACTTTATCCAATACAGAGCTGTGGGGGAGTCAGTGCCTCTCACAGAAAGCAACAGGAACAAGGCTGGATACACATTGCACAGGACACCCGTTCATTGCAGGACACACACAGATACAAAAGACACAAACACAGCCACATTGGTTATCGCAGAAGCCAGTTAAATCACCTGTTCCCCCTTTGGACTGTGGGAGGAAACCAGAGCACCCAGAGGAAGCCATGGGGAAAACCCTGAGGGAGCACATACGAACTCCACAAAGATACAGTAGCTCCCTGGAAATTGAACCCATGGCCCCATAGCTGCAAGGCAACAATGGTAACCACTACACCTTCATGCCACCCAACTTACTCTCTGTTTAAATTATTTATAGTGGTTCAGAAATCAGTTCATAAACTACTAACTACCTAAAACGACCATCTTAACTGTGGCTTCTGATGTCTTTTCAGGTATTTGGATTCTTAAACTTTATCCTGTGGGCCGGAAACATTTGGTTTGTCTTTAAGGAGACTGGGTGGCATTCCTCCGGACAGAGGTATCCTTCCAGCAGCACAGAAAAACAAGCAAGTGGCTTTAATCAGCAGCCCTACAATCAAGGTGGATATGATCAAGAAAACTTTGGCCAGTCTGGTGGGTACAATCCACAAGGGGAGTACGGGCAGCAGTCCAACTACAGCCAGGTTGGCAGCTATAGCCAGGCTGGGTATGCCCCAAGTGGGCCAACCTCCTTTGCCAATCAAATGTAACATCCGTACCCTGGCCATTACTGCAATTTAAGATTGGAAAATCAAGGGAGATCTCATGGTTATGAGTTGCAGCCTAAATTAGACTCTGCAATGGAATATATTCTGTTGTTAGTAGTCTAGTGATTGGAAGGTATTTGATCTAGTTTGTAAAAAATGCAGCATATCTACAGTAGGTTGTCTGTACAGACAAGGTATTTTCTGGAGTGGCTGTCCCTGAACTCAGTATTTCTATTGTAAAAATCAAAATTGTATTTTTTTTCCAACTTTGGTTTTATTTTCTTTTTTGAATGTTGTATTGCAGTGGTTTCAATTGTTCGTAAGCAATTTCTTTTCTGTGATAGGTGCTATGCCACAGATCATTACGGTAAGTATTTCTAAACTGTTTTGCACTCTTGTGAGAGAAAATGTGGTACTTTGTATCTTTATTGAAGATTACTTTATTGTGTTAATAAAGTGCATGAAATTGTGCATTTCAATTAATATATATGCCTGTATGTGCACACTTGAATAATTTTATAACACATAGTGCCGACAGGATTAAACTGATGTTAACTTACATAAAAAATAGGCTTTACATAAGGTTAATTCCTTTTAATTTGTCTTATATCTTAAAGTTTAAATTATTTATAAAAGATGCTAGTTCTAATTGTTGAAAATCCTGATATACTTTCCTCACACTTATTTGCTTTTCTTAAAAGTTAATTTTGGAGCATTTTACAAGATGTTTGCTTAAAAAGGATCAAATTCACTTTTATTGGATATTAATGATTTTATTGCACAAAATGACTGCCCTTAATGGAGAAATATCTGTTGTGGATGTTTTGTGAGTACAGTATTTTGATGTTTAGTGTTTATACTTGTAAAAGGGGCCATTCATTTGTTAAAAAATGTACTTTTGTGGAATTTTAATAAAGACAAAGATTTGGACAGGTGTTTTAAACCTTTGCTGCAGTCAAAGTAAGCAATTACTACGTTTTCAAAGCATGTGTGATGCAAGAAAATAGTTATGATGTCAACACCTTTTAGCCAGTAGCAATTAATAACAGATTAATGCTTTTATGTTGCAAACCGCAAAGCTCATCTAAGTGTTGTTTCCTTTTCTATTCAGAACACCACAACAATTGTATTTAATGACATTTTAAATAATTCGTTCTGATAAGCCCAATTTGCACAACTATTAATAAGATTTATACATATATAAATTCGTAATTTAACTTTTCCTTCCTTGTTTTTGACTTTCAAAGCATGTGGCCACAATCATCACAGTAATTGCATTTGTTAGACCATATATATACTGTATATCATCCTTGTGTTTGCTCTTCAGTGTTACATTATAATGTGATAAAGTTGGAGTCCATATACTCTTGTAATCTGTAAGCGATTACTCAGTGTGAATGATATTATATATGCATTTCAAATAACATTAATAAAGATGTTGCACAAACCATGCAATGATGTGTCATTCTCTGTAGTGTAGCAGACCAAACAAATCCTCAGACACACATCAAGATTTCCTCTTTTGTTTACGTCTTAAATTTACTGAATTTAGCAAAATAAAGCTTGTGCATTTTTGCACACCTGACTGCATAGATAAAGTTAGTGGCCTGTGAAATATTAAAAACATATTTTTGAATGGAAGAAAATAGTTTAAGAAACGGTTTGATAAAACAAAAGGATTAAATTAGTTTGAATGAAAATGCGGTTTAATTATGGAAACACTTCCATTTTTGATTTTCATTCCTATGACAAATTCCTACTGCAAGAAATTGTATATGACTAATAAAGTGATCTTATTCAAAAGGAGAAGGCTGTGGTCACTGAACTGAGTCCACTGCACATAGATTGCAACACTAACTGGGTGCTGTGCATTAGTGCATTAATACAGTACCACACAGACTCACTCCTCTTTTGTTCTTTGGTGGTATTTGGACTAAATCCCACAGTACATAAGTTGTGTGGACAAATCCCTGCAGGAAAAGATCACATACCTGAATAAAGCAACAAAATTACACCACAAGTGCATATTTTTAAAATAATTGTTTGCGAAAGTATTTTTAACGCTTACGGCCGACAGGCACTGTGTAAGAGCCGGCTTACCAGAGCGGTGATGTCGCCGCCCTTCCCTGTGA